CAAAGCAAGCACAGACATAGGGCAGGGCTGGCAGAAAAGCATCCTTCCCCTCTCAGCACACACCTCTGCCCCACTGAAGCCAGGGCCCCTCCGAGGCTGCAAGCCCCCAGGGAGTGCTCATAGCCCAGGAGCAACCCAGATACCTGCGTGTAGCATGGGTTTCCTATCTCTGCCTCCCTAGCTCTGCCATGCCAGGAGCGCAAGGGCAGCCTGATTGTGGTAACCCAAGAGCAGGGAGCTACAGGGCACCACACTTTCCTTGTGCTGCTTTTAGGGAGAGCTGCAAATAGGGTTTGAGAGCGTAATGAGGTCCTGGAGGATGAGCTCAGATGAGTTCCTAATGAATCCAGCCTTTTTCCATTACCGAGTGGCTATGTTTTTACCCTCCCTCTGTGCTCCATAAACCTGCTTGGTGGGAAAACACGGCCAAACAGGCACATATCCTAATTGATAGGCTGATCCTAATTGCGCCTCAACACCAGGTAATCACTTGTGCCAGTAATTAACTGGAATACAAATAGCAGTTGCACTAATAGCAGTGCACTAAACCATGAAGAACTACAAGAATGAGATAATTGCTTGCAAGACTTGTACTTATTTGTGAAGTATAAACTCACTAGAGGCTTGTCAGTATGGAAGGAGGCAAAAGGGTTAAGTCCTGTACTTAGCTCATCAGCCACTGTAGTTCCATAGTGGAAATACAATCAGATTGAAAGTTCACCCTTTGAAATACTCTGGAGGAAACTAACACCGAGCAAGGATGGGAGCAAGGCTGCCACTTGTTTTTATGATGTTTGTGCTATGTACAGGTACATGATGAAAACACTCATTCTGCCATGGGATTTTAGATCAGCAAACCCACCCACAAATCCTCCTTAATCATGGCAGGAGACCAGCCCAGTGTAATGCCATTGCTCTTTGAGGACAGTTGCGTGACTTCCTTACATGCAGGCGCAGTTTGTTACTCTCCAGCCAATCCAAGGGGAAGGAAAGGTTTATTCCACTAAATAAAAACATCATTAAACATCAACACCTATCTCTTACTGTGTGGCAGGATTTCCACCCACAAGACAATCTGTGGGATCCCACCCACAAAGCCGGACAGCTTTATGGAAAGGCATCAGGGAGGCACAAGCAGGAGATCCAGTTGAAGCCCTCCTCTAAATCCCTTTCAGGGAAGGTCAGGAGTTAGAGCTGATTGGAGATTCCTATACACAAACTGATTTTCCCATAAATAAGAAGTATTCACCAGAAGCCCCTATTTACCAGCTTTAAAAGACACTGCTCCTCTCTCCTGCTCTGAACTACTGTAGTAGCTTGAGGAAAAGGTTACAGTTTGGGTCAGGATTCTGACCCCACTGCTTGGCAAAGACCACCTGGAGCAACTAGAAAAGGCAAACTAAATAAATCAATCTAGAAATAAAAACATGGAAGCAAATTCTTGTGCCAAAGCCACCCCTGCTGCTAAGGACTGACTTGCATTGTGCAAGTGCTTTCCCAAGAACCCTGATGTGATGCTCACATTCCAGCCCCATCACTGACAGGGGGACTTGCAGAGAACAGGGCTGCACTGTCATCTGCCCAGCGTGTTTCCATGTGCTGAACAACTGCACATTGAGAGCAGGAAGATGCCTGCCAGCTTCCCAACACCCTGGGGAAGCAGGAAGAACTTGATTTAGTAATCAAAATAAATTCCTTCTTTCTTGAGAAAAAGACCTTCCACTTCAATTATTGAAGTTAAATATTAAAAGCAAAACCTTTTAATTCCCTGAGAGTTAACTAAGAAAAACCCCCAACCAAGCAAGCAAGCAAAACCCATTACTGCTACACTAGGTCTGAGCTTGCCTGTTCTGGCTCACAGGAAGAGCAGCAGAGCACTGCATTCTAACCTGGCAACCATCTCAGAAGAGGCACTGCAGAAATACTGTACAGATGACAGCCAGCTTCCTTTAGCGTGGCAGCTTTCTCTCCTCCACAATGACTTGATTATTCTCAGCTCAAAATAGCCTACACATTCTTAATTTCTAAGAATATACCATGACAGCTAAGAGCTTCCTGCAAAGAATGGGCCTCATGAGTATTGAAGAGAACAGGCTGACATTTAAGTGTTTTGAAGCTATTCCTTTTCATCTGTGCTGCACAACTGGCTGCATCCCTTCTGAAGCACTGTAGCACTTGGAACCTCATCCTGCCAAGACTCAGGCAGGCGTTGGGCTTTATACATTCATAACACTAAGCTTAGAACCTCCATCATCTATTCAGACTAGAATCTTTATTTCGACATTGAAATAGTGAGCAGTACCCAGCAGCTTATGAAGTAATATACCCAAATCCAAGTGGGTGCAAAATGCTACTAGAACAGGCTCTTTCTTTCACTCGGGAACACCTATTATGAGTCAAACCACACAGAAGGTACTGGAATCAAAGCTCAATAAATGAAATGGCCAAGGCAGCTAAATAGCCTTTAAATCAATTCTTATCAGAGATGCTGTCACTTGTGACTGTTTTCTGACAACGGGCTGATTGCCCACAGATTGATTAGACTGAAAGGCTTGACAAATAACACACAAGCAAGGTGAAGCTGAAGGTCATTTGGTTCTTTGTAGAAGCATTTCTATATCAGCACCATCCCAAAAGGGACCCAAATTACAGTTCCTGAAGAAGTTTTCAGACATACACAACTCTCCTTACAAAGATGAGGCTATACACACACTCCTCATCTAGTCACACTACGAAGGGTAGAGCTTTATACTTCAGACAGCTACAACAAACCAACCTTTGGTACCACCCAGCCCTGAAGAATGCTCCTTTCATTTCACTTCATCCTGACAGTACTAACCCAGACCAGGTATCAGATTTAAGTGCAAGCTTAATTAGCAAGTTAACAGCTAGGAACTAACACCAAAGAACCACCTAGGACTCACAGCAGCTACAAATGAGAGTGGCATCGGCTGCACACCAAGGCAGGTAATGAAATTCAGCCTCCTCATATGGAATTTTACCAACACAAACACTTTTACATACCACATAGAGTGAATTTCTTCCCTATAGGAAGGCATGCCATATTTCTCAGGTGCCAGCAGCACTAGTTGTGCTGCTTTTAAACATGAAAGCTTCACAAAAAAGGTGTTAGCTGTACCTACCCTGCCTGGGTAGGTCAGGATGAAAACTCAAGAGAGTTTTCGGCTGTATTGGACTATGCACATTATTTGCTCTGTACCCAGTTTCATCAAGAAAGGTTCCATGTTTTGATCAAGCAAGATGACATTACAAAACTAGAACTATTTGCCATTAGCACCTTCAAACCAAAGCTTCACAGGTTTTGGATATCTCCAAAAAGAGAACACCATTCATGCCAAAGAACAACCTGTTCAAGATGGATTTGTATCACAGAATATACCTCCTGCTGTCAGCAAACTTAAGGTTCACATTTCTTACAACTTAAGGGAGGCAAATGAAAAACAAAGAAGTTTGTACAAAACGTGAGCAGGAAGCATGCCAAAACCAAGATGACCATCTTGAGTAATCTGGGCATCAGCAAAAAAATAAGTGCCTAAAAGAATGAAGGGGGAAGAGTTACTTCTAAAATCTATTTCACCCTTTGCACCTGCCCAGAATGCAGCCTTCATTTACTAGCAGCAGCTCATCGCTCAAAATCCAGTTTGGAGAAAGCACAGCACCAAAGTTACTAACGGTCCAAACGCAGTTGGTACCACTCAGGCAAAACGTTCACATTGATCTCAATGAGGAAAGCTTGAAACTTCTTTAAACAAAGCAAGGCCTGAAAAGAAAAAGGGGACAGGCTCAGCAAGACTGCTCCTGAAGGAACAGATTTTAATGTCAGACACTATGTAAAGTAAATGTCAGGATGCTGACTTAATGTACATTGCATGATGAAACAGGATGTTGAGAAAGCCACAGGAACACAGTAAGTGTTCCTAAGTCCTACTGTTTTTATTGTGCTTCCATTTTTAAGCTCAGAGGCATACTGACTGTTAAGCACACTTGATGCTACATTTAAGATTTCCTTTTTGTAAGGCAAACGCATGAAAAAAACCCAGCCAAACATGTGGAACAAATATGAGAGGAAAGGGTCTCTCATTCCAGGTGAAATTCAAGTAGTGTGAAGTCTTTAAAGACCAGTCTCAGCATTTTTTGTTATCAATTTATGGAACACAAACGACACTCAAAATTAGACAGGATTAAACTCTTGACTCTGAAATAATATACTAAAAACTCGCCTCTTCCTTTCTATATGAGATTCAATTTGGTCACTGCAGGATGCAAAATCAAACATTTGTAGAAGTGTTCTGAAAAACTTGTGTCAAAATCTGAGCTGGTACCTTACAGACTGATTCATATACACTGTACCTCTAAGTATGAATAGTTACATTACCTGCTGCCCAAGAATCCTGAAATGATTTTCCTTCTATAGAATACAATTCCAAGAATTAAATTACATATTTAAACCCAAGCATTTTCATGGCCAAGGGCCAGAACATTTCTCTGCTTAAAATATCAAGGTAAACACCAGTAATTTTACTCATGTGCTTCCCAAATTTAAGTACTGAGGGTAGCTGAGCATCCATCTCCAAACAGAAGGCAATGCACACTTAATGTGACTTAAAAAGGAGTCAGACTACTGAGAACAAGCAACTGCCATAGCCCTAGTCCTGTACCATGGGACGAACAAAACTCTTCAAGGCACAAATATCCCCTGCTGTGTACCTTTATACAATTTCCAAAAGCAACAGTGAATGATTTAATAAAACAAAAGAACCATTCTCCAAGGGAGCTCAGAACACAGCAGTATCTACTTTCAAAGTATAGGCCAGAGAGAGGGGTCGTTTTTTTTTAGTATTTTATTGAATAAGCACATCAGCAAGTAAAAGGTTAAGAAAAATCTACACAGCTTCCTAGAAATAACAGCCTACAAATCCCCCCTTAGTTTTCTTTAACCATCTGGTTTTCATATTTCTCGAGCAGCTTAGCCAGGTTCCCCCCCCCCATGATTTTCCCATTCTAATTATTTTAATAAATAATGGACACCACAGGCGATCCTAGGGAAAAATCCACGTCTCAACACTGCATAGCTGGACAACTAAGTTCACTGGATGTCATCATCATCAAAGAGATCTTCAAAATCTAGTCAGAAAAATAAGATGAGGTAAAATTAACCTTAGAAGTCTCAACTGTTACACAAACACATACTCAAGTACAGTTCATTATTTGGTTTAAAGACAGAAATTAAAAAGGTGAATTAGGTAAATGAGATTTATTGCACCATCAGTTATTATAAATAAGTAACATAAGGGTGGGAAGAGACAGAAGAAAGATAGGCATGCACATATATATGTTCTCCATCACAGACAAATTAGCTTCACTTGTACAATGCAAGCATTGCGATTAAATTCACAGAAGCAAAATAAAGCTTCAAAAGAGGAGCTTTCATAAACACATTATGCAGCCATCGCATTCAGAGGGGATCAAGCATGATTCCCTGACTCCAGAACTAAGGAAGTACAGGCTTTATGCATGCAGCAAGTCTCAAATGAGACACTCATGCAGAATTATTCCTTTAGGTCACAGCATCCAGGCTCCCACTTAGGAGTTGTTTTGAGGTTGACGCTCACATTTCTGATTTGCTATAAAAATCATTTCCTTAAAAAGCATCTCATTGCTGTGAAGGTGTGAATAACATTTGTCTGTCAGAGCTCATCTCAGACTGGTGACATGTGGCCGGCTAGGCACAACTGTTGTAGTCATCTTTGGGAAGTACTCATTAACTACTCTGCTTTATATCTTCTTTGTATACCGAGTACAAACTAACAACATAACTGAAATCAAGTGTTTTTTTCTTACAGAAAGCAGCAAACAGTGCCATACAATAAACTGAGGATCAAACCCCATTTAGAAGAGCCCTAAGCTACCATAAGAATATAATGCCACAGCCTGATGGCAGAACTTCATGGAACTACCTACTCCTGAATATGCTGCCTCCAGCAAAGACCTAAGTCCCTTAAAATTATTCAAAGGTATATTAATGCTGAACTTCCCTTTTCATCTGTATTCCAAGTCTTGAGCAACATGAGAAACCTAACTGATTTCAGAATACGTTTGTGGCATCAACACCACCACAGTCATCAGATTTTCTAAGATGACTGAAATACACTGTTGAAATGTTTAAACATACTTCTTCAGATGTATTAAGAAAACACCTTAGTAACTCAGTGTAAGATGCTGTATATTCTATCCTCACATGGTCAGATACATCACTCTTCTCTCTAAAAGCACCTGTATATGCACATATGCTTACAGTTAACTTACAAATGCAGAAAGCATACAAATCCAAAAGTTTTAGTCTGCTTTGGATACATATGCATGCATACCTTCAGCAATCTGAGAATTTTCTATAAAGTTGTAACACCCAGAGACAAAGCTCAGCCCACATTTTAACAAGCATTTACACTGTTTAATAGAAACTATTAGATATAAGAAAGAAATTCTTCCTTGTGAGGGTGGTGAGGCTCTGGCACAGGGTGCCCAGAGAAGCTGTGGCTGCCCCATCCCTGGCAGTGTTCAAGGCCAGGTTGGAAGGGGATTGGAGCAACCTGCTCTAGTGGAAGGTGACCCTGCCCGTGGCAGGGGGTTGGAACTGGATGAGCTTTAAGGTCCCTTCCAACCCAAACCAGTCTATCAGTCTATGCAAAGAGAACAAGGCATTGTTCGTTGTAGTAACTAACGTGCTAAATGGCCTAAACTTCCAGGAGACGAGAAACACGCATTGTATTACCCCCACCCACATCACCTACCACTGAAACTGATGACAGTACTCACTAGAAGCGTGGTTAGAGACCTTCAGCGACTACAAAAGACACAGGATTAGGAGACACCCAGCGAGGTTTGCTGCTATCACCTTCACTTTCCGCACCCGTTACCAGGCAGGCCCAAAGCATTACCAGCCGGGCAAGCTCCGCGGTGCCCCACTATTCCCCACCCCGGGGTGCAGCAGCGCTTACCGTTAAAGAAGTCGGCGTGCACGGCTTTCTCGTTGGCGGCCAGGTCCATCAGCAGCCCGGTGCTTCCCCCTGCCTGGGAAACAGGCGCTGAAGAGCAGAACCCCACCAACACCCGCTCCTAACCGGCGGCCCCACCACTTGCCCCCTCGCACGCAGCCCCGGCAGCTCCCCTCCCATGACCTCACCTCATCGAGGTCCACGTAAGGACCGGCCCCCTCAGGGAACATCTCGTCCACAGCCGGTTTCATGACAGCACCCCAACACACTCCCGGCCGCCCTGCCGCTTCCGGCCGCGCACCGCCTACTTCCGCTTTAAGCCGGCCAGCGGAGCGCCGCTCTGTACCGCTGGAGGTCTCGCGTTTCTCTGGTAACCCGGGGGGCGGGCCCCGCCGTTGCCATGGCGAGGAGGGCGGGGGCAGCATGATACCGAAGCCTGACGGTACCCAAGCCCGAGGTGAGGAGAATCATAGAACCACAGGCTGGTTTAGGTTGGAAGGGACCTTAAAGCTCATCCAGTTCCAAGCCCCTGCCACAGGCAGGGACACCTTCCACTACAACAGGTTGCTCCAAGCCCCTGTGGCCTTGAACACTGCCAGGGATGGGGCAGCCACAGCTTCTCTGGGCACCCTGTGCCAGCGCCTCAGCAACCTCACAGGGAAGAACTTATTCCTTAGAACTAACCTAAATGTCCCCTGTTTAAGTTTTAACCCATTACCCCTTGTCCTATCACTAAAGTCCCTAATGAAGAGCTCCTCCCCAGCATCCCTGGATGCCCCCTTCAGATGCTGGAAGGCTGCTATGAGGTCTCCACACAGCCTCCTCTTCTCCAGGCTGAACAGTCCCAACTTTCTCAACCTATCTTCATACAGGAGGTGCTCCAGTCCCTGATCATCCTCGTGGTTTCCTCTGGACTCACTTCAACAGCTCCATGTTCCTCTTGTGCTGTTGCCACAGAGCTGGACACAGGACTGCAGGGGGGGTATCGCCAGAGCAGAGTAAAGGAGGAGAATCCCCTCCATCCACCTCCTGGTCATGCTGAAATGGTGTTGAGCTAGCCAGGGAGCTGCTAAAAGGACACCAATGATGCTGGATTTGCAGCAGGAAGATCAAAACTTATCCCAGGAGAAACTATGTAAATATCTGTCAAAGTTCAGGAGAACTGCCTTGTTTTCAGTAGATAATGACTGAATGAACAAAGCATGAAGGGCCCAGAGGAGGAGAACATTCTGATCAAGAACATTGATCTTATTAGCAAGAAGTTGGCAGTAAAACTGAACTTTAAGGTAACCTGGAGAGGACTGCCTTCATTATAATACTAAAAATCACACCCCCTTTGGATAAGAGAGCCTTCCTTATGGAACACATGCAGTAAAATAAGCCCAATACTGTGTCTTTAAACAGAGAATGTAAGAGCCAATGATTGTAGATTACAGAAGCCAGCATCGGATGTGCTTGATTTGTGAAAATGCACCACTGAGCAACCTATACAGAATAGATAATGTCTCCTTCTAAACAGACTTAGTGTGTTTTGAGAGTTCTCTTTCAAACAGGCAACACCATTACACTGCAATGGGTGTGGCTGTGAATTACACTGGTGGTCCTTCCAGCCACCAAACTCATTGGGCTGGTGTTTAAGTACTATATGCAGAGAGAGCAGTGAGCCTTACGTGTAAAAAACCACCCAAAACCACACAACCGAATCAACGGGTTTATTGATTTAGCTCAAAAGCACAGACTGTGAGAAAGAAAAGGTTAATTTAAAGCATGACATGCGATGAGTGAGTGCTGTGAGTATTAACAAGTGGCTGAGGGATGCTTTTGCAGGCAGCTGTGCATTCACTTAATCATCTTGGCACCAGCTTTAGCAAAAAAAGCAGCTAGTGCTCATGGTTGGGCACATGGTAGCCAAGGTGACTCCCAAAAGGGAACTGGGAAAAGAAGGCTCTGGCCATTTCTTCAATCCTGTTGTAGGCTCCTAGGTTCCGGAAATACTCCACGTAGGACCAGAAATCACTGGATGAGAAGGGCCAGTACAGCAAGGCTACGGATTCCTGGTAGGGATCTTAGAGAACAATAAAAAGCACTGCAGATTAGTGTAATACAAAGTATTTTCGTTGAAAGCTTGGGGGCTGGGAGCCAACATGGTTTGGGATTGTGGGTTCCCTTGGGGCCTGTAGGTTCCTTGTATGCTCCTCTAGCAGGAGAAAAGAGAGCAGAGCCATTGACCTGCTCTCTGCTCTGGTTGCACCAGGAATGACAGGGTGGGACAAGATGGAGAGCAGGGATAAAGGGCACCATCTGCATTTGGGGCAATTGAAGACTTGATGAAGCTGCTTGAATTTCTAGAGGGCTGCTGGTTATTTAAAAGCAAGGAGCAATTGCGAATGAAAGCCATTTTTCCTCATTCCATGCCGTTTTCTCTGCCTAACATAAAAATATAAGGAATAAGGCACCATCACATACACTGTGCCCCTACAAGCACCTGCTCTACCTGCAAGTTCCTAGAGCCACAGGAAACGGCCGTGCAGTTGCTCCCCTGCCATCCCTGTACAAAGGCAGCTTGGCTGAGTACAGCACAAGCTGGGGGTGCAGGATCCTCCCCAGGCTCCCAGGGACTAGGTCCATGCTGGCCTGACATTGCAGAGTTGTGCCTCTTCTCAGCAGGCCATACGAAATGGGCTAAGGAAATGGAGAGGAAAGGCATTGCTACTGGGAAGACAACTGCTGCCTTTGTGCCTGTTTCAGGAAATGGGAAATACTCATTGAAACAAGATTTCAAATTCAGCAGGAAAACAAAATCCATTCTGAAGCTGCAGGTGCAACTGCTCTTCAGCCCAAACACAGAGGCATATGTAAAAAGTAACCACTAGCTGAGACCAACATAGCTACCAATGTCTCTGTGCAGCAAAGCTAAACCCAGTATTCTGATTTGATTTAAAGCCCATATAAATAAACAGGAGGCATTCCACTCACCAGGCTCAGCTTGGGACCAGGATCTTTAGTGGGAATTAAGGGCCTTCAGCAATCTTATTGTCAGACCTTAATTTTATGGAGTGAAGTTTGCAGCATACAGGCACAGATGGAATGTAACAGATCAAATGAACCAGCCAAATACTGTCTGCAGAGGAGAATTCAGTATTTATATCGGCTGACCTTATATTCACTTTGCAGTCAGCGGCTTGGCCCAGTGTGAAAGAAAGCCATAATTTTTGGTAATGAGAGCAACAGGATGCTGCCTGTTCAAGGTTTTATTTTTAGATTGACACAAACTCTCCTTCCTGAGAGGTTGCTGCAGAAATATTTGCTGTGCACAAATGTTATAGCACCCTTAAACTTGTGAGAACATAGATGATGCATTCAGAAAGTTCATAGAGAGATAGAGCATACGGTATAACGTTTTGAATTCAAAGTAATCACATTAGCCCTTATTTCATATGTATGTATTTCTACTTTCAATATCTGTTATCATACTGTCTCTGCAAGTTTGTATCTCTGCACTTGGGATGCTGCTGGCTATCCTGCTGGTAACTGAGATGAACACCAGCAATAGCAGTACCTGGTTATTACAGATACTTCTGTGTAACTCCTTTATCATAAAGAATTCTGTCTAAAAACACCAGAGAGAGGTGAACTGCCATAATTATCAGAAAGCCAGTGTAAACATCATTAGGATGCTGAGCATTTTTGTAATCAAAGGCAAACAGTAATACAATGGATTAATCATACAAAGTGGCACGAACCACAGGGCAGCTGTGCTAAGGGATTTAGTCCAACATTTCTTTAATTGGATTTGTGGCAATTTCTAGATCTTAAGCTTTTTGTGGTAGAAGTCAGTATTTCTTGCCAATGAACAGACAAGTTTACAGTACTACTGTTCAGGATAAACAAAAATCTCAGATTTCCAATACGTTTATATGTCTGGTACTTTCCAGTTGTGTTTTTGTATGGTAGAATTAATGAGCTGACCATAACCCATATTTGTTTTTAGGACTGTAAGTATATTAGGTCTAATATTAGGCATTAATACTTCAGGTTTTTCATAAGTTTTAAAGACATTTCTAAGAATACACTCTTCTTTCTCCACCAGAACTGGATGAAAGCACTCCCACAGCCCACTGAGGTTAGTAAAGTTCCTGTCAAAATTGCTGCTGGGGATCAGGTCTGGGAGTTACAAATGACTCTCATAATTGTTAGTGATGCAAAGGAAGGAATAACACATTAAGAATTACCATCTCCATTCTGGATTGACCGGGCATCTGTAAATAAAGAGGAGACCATCAGTACCAGCTCCTGCACAGAAGGACTTGGTGTAAATAAAAGCTTTGCTGCATAGCCAGAAGCTCACAGGTTCTCCAATGAACCCTCTGTATAACCAAACTTGTTTCCTCAACAGCTGAATAATGAACTCCCCCTTTGCAGTCATTTAGTGCTACAAACCGAATACTCTTAACTAACCGCCAGAGCAGTTGAGATTTATACACAAGCTCTATCTGATACTAAACAGAAGATCCTGTATTAGTAACAACATTTCTGTCTACTTGAAAAAGTTAATGAGAATGAATTCAGCAATAATCTTACCTGTGAGCATGCTCATCAGCATACAGAAGAGAAATAAGCCCATAAATGTCATCTTCTCTGCAAGATATTACTTGTGTTTCTGAAAAATAATCTGAACACTTGAGGATTACTACAAGAGATTAAGAATTATGCAAAGTCTATTATTTCTTCTTTAATTAGAAGAATATGTTCCAAACTTGATCCTAAGTATTAATTAAGGCATAACAAGATCCAATTACAATTCCTTGCTGTTTCTGAACTGCAAAGCAGAGTATTAAAAGAACCATAGTCCTGAAGCATGTACTGGTATTTTATTATTAGGTGGTATAAATCAAAAAGGCTTCTCTGAATTGAAATGAAATTAAGTGTATTTGGAAATGTTTTATTTTGTGGTTAATCCAATTTCACTCTAGAAGTTACCTCTCTCTTTTCCCCTTCCTTCTTCTTGCAGTAGTAACTGACTGTAGCTCCAAGTCAGCTACAAACTCCAAAAGCATTTCAATTGCTGTTAAATAGCAGCACTGTTTAAAGGAGGGTGGGGGGAAAGGAGAGAAACGTCACCAAATTGCTACACCAATCTGATGTTGTCTCCTTCAGGTAGAGGGATTTTAACTGCTCGCATTTGCGTTGTATTTCAGCACTGTCCCTGGGAGAGAGAGTGGACAGTTTCTGAGAGGAAATCAGAATCAACTTTGGCGATAATACTTTTGTGTTTTGAAGACAGAGGGAGAACATGCAG